TTTGATTTTGTTTGACATTTCTCAGTAATGACACCCTCAGACACCCACTATCATTCATGCTATGCCTTCAGTAATAACTCAGATGTTAAAGGGATGAAACTTTTCCTCCCAAATCAGATATTTGTTTTTCAACAAATGTATCCATTTCCTGCATAATATATGTTTATCACAATTGGTTTTTTGTAAGCTGCACACAGGTGATACTGAGTCTTCTTGATTAATAGATTATAAACTATACCATGCTTAAATAGACTCCTAAGTTATAATTTCATATGTACCATATGTAAGAAAAGGGAGGGAAGAGTCAATTATATTGGGTAATTTATTTCTCAAACCTATGTTTTATGGAAGAGACAAAATATTTCTGATAAACTAATATGTTATCAAAAGGTAAATGGTGAATTAATATACATTTAGAATCATTGAGAAGGGGTTATATCCACAGGGACAAGCTCACCTTTAACTTACAATAACATGTCTCTGCTATGGACTGATGAGTATATGATTCTTGCATGTTCAATGACTAACACAAACCTTCAAAATGATAATGTGCATGTGTCAGGAAGGCTCCCAAATCATTCTGAGGGGCCTATCCTATTTTAGTAATTAAATGATAATGTGCTAATCCATTACTTTGAGTTGTCTTCACTCAGAAAAACATCCCTATCAGGTGTTAACCCAATAACTAGGACAGCTCTCAAGGCCAAGGGTCAGAGAGAGAGGGTCACACTCTCCGGGTGCAGAGAGCACCCCCAGCCACGTGCAAGGAAGCACCAGGTTGTTCGAGATGGGAGGATGCTTCTCTTCACCTTTCTGATAAGAGGGGATGCTTCTCTTCACCTTTCAGATAAGATGGGATGCTTCTCTTCACCTTTCTGATAAGAGGGGATGCTTCTCTTCACCTTTCAGATAAGATGGGATGCTTCTCTTCACCTTTCTGATAAGATGGGATGCTTCTCTTCACCTTTCTGATAAGAGGGGATGCTTCTCTTCACCTTTCAGATAAGAGGGGATGCTTCTCTTCACCTTTCTGATAAGATGGGATGCTTCTCTTCACCTTTCAGATAAGATGGGATGCTTCTCTTCACCTTTCTGATAAGATGGGATGCTTCTCTTCACCTTTCAGATAAGGATGCTTCTCTTCACCTTTCTGCTGAGATGGGATGCTTCTCTTCACCTTTCAGATAAGATGGGATGCTTCTCTTCACCTTTCTGATAAGAGGGGATGCTTCTCTTCACCTTTCTGATAAGGATGCTTCTCTTCACCTTTCTGATAAGATGGGATGCTTCTCTTCACCTTTCTGATAAGATGGGATGCTTCTCTTCACCTTTCAGATAAGATGGGATGCTTCTCTTCACCTTTCAGATAAGAGGGGATGCTTCTCTTCACCTTTCTGATAAGATGGGGTTCTTCTCTTCACCTTTCAGATAAGATGGGATGCTTCTCTTCACCTTTCAGATAAGAGGGGGTTCTTCTCTTCACCTTTCAGATAAGATGGGATGCTTCTCTTCACCTTTCTGATAAGATGGGGTTCTTCTCTTCACCTTTCAGATAAGATGGGATGCTTCTCTTCACCTTTCAGATAAGAGGGGATGCTTCTCTTCACCTTTCTGATAAGGATGCTTCTCTTCACCTTTCTGATAAGATGGGATGCTTCTCTTCACCTTTCTGATAAGATGGGATGCTTCTCTTCACCTTTCTGATAAGATGGGGTTCATCTCTTCACCTTTCAGATAAGATGGGGTTCTTCTCTTCACCTTTCTGATAAGATGGGATGCTTCTCTTCACCTTTCTGATAAGGATGCTTCTCTTCACCTTTCTGATAAGATGGGATGCTTCTCTTCACCTTTCTGATAAGATGGGATGCTTCTCTTCACCTTTCAGATAAGATGGGATGCTTCTCTTCACCTTTCAGATAAGAGGGGATGCTTCTCTTCACCTTTCTGATAAGGATGCTTCTCTTCACCTTTCTGATAAGATGGGATGCTTCTCTTCACTTTTCTGATAAGGATGCTTCTCTTCACCTTTCAGATAAGATGGGGTTCTTCTCTTCACCTTTCTGATAAGATGGGATGCTTCTCTTCACCTTTCTGATAAGATGGGGTTCTTCTCTTCACCTTTCAGATAAGATGGGGTTCTTCTCTTCACCTTTCTGATAAGATGGGATGCTTCTCTTCATCTTTCAGATAAGATGGGGTTCTTCTCTTCACCTTTCAGATAAGATGGGATGCTTCTCTTCACCTTTCTGATAAGATGGGATGCTTCTCTTCACCTTTCTGATAAGGATGCTTCTCTTCACCTTTCTGATAAGATGGGATGCTTCTCTTCACCTTTCTGATAAGATGGGATGCTTCTCTTCACCTTTCAGATAAGATGGGATGCTTCTCTTCACCTTTCAGATAAGAGGGGATGCTTCTCTTCACCTTTCTGATAAGAGGGGATGCTTCTCTTCACCTTTCAGATAAGATGGGATGCTTCTCTTCACCTTTCTGATAAGATGGGATGCTTCTCTTCACTTTTCTGATAAGGATGCTTCTCTTCACCTTTCAGATGAGATGGGGTTCTTCTCTTCACCTTTCTGATAAGATGGGATGCTTCTCTTCAACTTTCTGATAAGATGGGGTTTTTCTCTTCACCTTTCTGATAAGATGGGGTTCTTCTCTTCACCTTTCTGATAAGATGGGATGCTTCTCTTCATCTTTCTGATGAGAGGGGGTTCTTGTCTTCATCTTTCTGCTCGGTGGGCTCTAGCAGACCACCCTGCAGGACGAGCGAGGGCTTCAGAGGTTTCTATAATACAAGGTTCCATGTTTCTTGGAGGAGATGTCTTCCTAACCTCTCCCATCACGGGGGGGACACCTGGATGCATCAGGAATACGCAGTTGTACTCAAGCAGATAGCAGAAGGAATACAGGCAGATGAGCCTCCGTCTCACTGGGGGGTCAGCTACAGTGCTCACTGAATGAGCCACACAAAAGCAGAGCAATTGGGGGGTTGAATTATGGCGCTCTGATGAAGAAGAGTTTGAGCCAATCAGCACCTCAGTGCTAATCTACAGTATCAGGATGCCTTTGCACACCAGACACTCGGTGTCATAAAGGGAGGAGGAGAACGAGTCAGGAAGACTGACGGACATGTTCTTCCAGCTCTCGTACAAAGATGAACTTTGAATTGAATGACCAGATGTTTAAAGATGTACAATTAATGATTGTTTTTATATTTCCAATGACCAGACATGTGTTAAATAGTGGTGATTAATATATTTAGTCAGATCAGATTACATTTTCACACTAAACAAAATTAATAAATAAATATTCTCAGATTATAAGGTATTGAATAATAAAATATTTCTAATATTATCACAGATAATGTTAATATCCTTAATCATCCAGCAATCAGGCTTAACAACACTACTCTGTAATGTATTACCCATGCACAGACAGACCTAACATGATGTTTCAAGGACTGGATTCATTTCTTATAACAATTATGTAGCATATTTGATCCTCAAATTAGAGAAGTATCATTTAAAGAAATTGATATTCTATATTTCAACATTAGATAAACACAGAAGAACCCTTTCCAAGTACCATAAGTAGATGTTCAGGTAAGTATGACTAATAAGAATAATTGATAGACTTAATTTGGTACAGATCAGTGGTAGCATTTACAAATGTATGAATTCAAGTTTTAAGAATGTTTAATCTTTCCTTTCCAGGTTTTTACAAAAGTCTTTGAATATTTGCCGAACTTTTCCTTTTCAGATTTTGAACAATGTACTTGACTAAAATGAATGTATTGATTTTTCTAAGACTAAGTGCCTTACTCTTGGCTAAAGCGTAATGAAGTAAACGTAAAGTAATCCTAAAATTGAGGACACTGCAATTTTGCAGATTACAGATTGATCAAATCACCACTGTGAATGTTATACCTTAGCTGTGAATGTTATACCTTAGCTGTGAATGTTATACCTTAGCGTTAGCTGTGAATGTTATACCTTAGCTGTGAATGTTATACCTTAGCTGTGAATGTTATGCCTTAGCTGGATCTCTTATGATCCTAAGTTTTAAATGCTTTTGACTAGTGATTGCCTTAAAGCAAATCTTTAATCTGCAAGCTGGTTTTGATTTTATAGTTTGATAAATGACATTAACTAATGGTTTAAATGATAAAAGATATTAGTTTAAAACAAATATTTTGCTATTATGTATCTGTGTTTTTATGTGTGTTCATTATTGTACTTATTGACAAAAGATGCTCCAAACACTGATGAGAGATAATTGTTCCTATTATGATTGGCTGTATCAATCATTGTGATTGAATGTTTCAATCTTACTCTACTTTGTGATGTAATTGAATGTAAGGTGAGACCACACTCAAATCTGAAGACGCCTATTGATTTAAGTATTGACCAGAATTATTCTTAGACTAATGTTTTAAGGTTATCAAAAATGATAAAAAGAGAGGAACTGTTAAGGAATAATTCTTCTAGATATCTAACCTTTTGCTCTGTGACGTTTTATGATCTACTCTGACGTCTGTTATCTCCTCTAAGGAAAGGCCTTGGTGCCATATGTGTTGTTGTCACCAGTGTGAGACCGGTCAACTTGTCTGGCACGAAGGGTACTTGTTGTGAGAACGCTGAGGCACTTCTTTATCGGTGTTTGTGGACTCTAAGATGTGAAATCTTCGAGGCCATGAGTGTCGGACGCAGGTGGCTCAGTGTTCCCAGCTGTTTAGTCTACTCCTTCAGAGATGTTGATCTCTCTCTGTGAACCAGTTCAAAGGTCTAGCATAGAGAGAGGTTCTTCAGAATTGACGTGGCAACTCTACCGTGTGGTCAGAACCTCTGACTCTTTGATTTGTGATGTGAATCCTCCAGCCGAATACTCTGAATAAACCCATCAGTGTTTGATATCAAAGCTCCAACTCTCACCGTGTCTCCTTCCTGAGTCGGTGACTCCATGCATTACTACACAGAAGTTTCCTCCACAGTAAGGACTCGTGTTTCCGTCTGGACTCGTGTTTCCGTAAGGACTCGTGTTTCCGTCTGGACTCGCTGTACATTTAATATTAAAGACTTATTTAATAATAATAATAATAATAAATGGAATTTATAAAGCACCTTTCACGGGACCCAAGGTTGCTGTACATGGTGGACAGACAAAACAAAACAGACAATGAGGAGCGAACAAAACAAAAATAAAATAAAGGAGGCCGGGGGACCAGGAAAGGACTAGGGTCCGAAGGCCACGGTGAACAGGTGAGTTTTCAGTGAGGATTTGAAGATGTCCAGTGAGGCAGCGTTCCAGATCTCAGGAGGAAGTGCATTCCAGAGGGTGGGGGCCGCCACACTGAACGCCCTGTCACCCACAGTACGAAGGCGAGAGCGGGGGATGGAGAGCAGGCCCGTGTCGGAGGACCGCAGACTCCGAGAGGGGGTGTAGGGATGTAGGAGGTCTGTTAAGTACTGGGGGGCGAGGGTATGGAGGGACTTGTACGTGAGGAGGAGTGTTTTGTAGTGAATCCGGGACTTGACCGGCAGCCAGTGGAGGTGGATGAGGGTGGGGGTGATGTGTTGCCATGGCTTAGTGCGGGTGAGAAGCCTGGCGGCAGAGTTCTGGACGTATTGGAGTCTGGCCAGGGTTTAGCTGGGAACCCCGGACAGGACTCCATTGCAGTAGTCCAGACGGGATGTGATGAAGGCGTGTATTTAAGAGTCCTTATTATTATTATCATGATTTACTAGCTGTGTGTGTGTGTGTGTGTGTGTGTGTGTGTGTGTGTGTGTGTGTAAAAGTAAAAGTCATAAAAGTCAGTCAATGCTTTCCAAAAGCACGAGCAGTGAACTCCAGGCCCACGTGACTGAACTAAAAATTGAAAGAAACAGACTAAGAAATGACGTAAGCTCCATGATCAAAACTGCCAAAAACAATTTCATCAATGACAAAACTGAGGAAAACAAAAATAAACCCCGTGAACTTTGGAAATTACTCAATAACCAGCTTGGCTGCAGTAAAAAACTCAAAACGAGATTTTCAAACGTAAACATAAAGACAGATAACAGGCTCATCACAGACAAACTGGATGTGGCCAAGTACTTGAACATTTTTTTCACAAACATAGCCACAACTCTTGTAAATAAATTACCCTCCCACTCAGGGCTTTTTGGAGTAGATCACATCATGACCTACTACAAAAACCTAGGGGTACGCAAAGATGATTTCAGTCTAGCAAGGGTAACAACAGCAGAGGTACTCATTAAACTGAGCGCCCTCAAACCTAACAAGGCCACTGGCCACGACAATATCCCCTCCAAATTCCTCAGAGACACAGCAACCGCCATCTCACCAGTCATAGCTCACATAATTAACCTCTCCATAAAACAGGGAAAAGTACCCAAAGACTTCAAAATTGCAAGAGTAACCCCCCTGCACAAAAAGGGCAGCAAATTGGACCCAGGCAACTACCGCCCTGTTTCTATACTTACCTCCATCTCGAAAGTCATGGAAAAAATAGTATATGAACAGGTCGAAAAGTACCTCGCAGAAAAGAAACTAATCTATGAATTTCAATCTGGCTTTAGAACATCCCACTCCACTGACACATGCCTTCTTTATTTGAACGACCACATCAAACAAGAGGTGGACGAGGGTAAATACTGCGGCATGGTGATGCTGGACCTACAAAAGGCTTTCGACACTGTCAATCACCCCATTCTGATTGACAAGCTAAAAGCAATTGGTTTTGATAAACTATCGGTGAGCTGGATGCAATCCTACCTGGAGGGGAGAGAACAGATGGTGGAGGTAAACGGTACTCTGTCCCCCCCCCTCCCAGTGAGCTGTGGTGTTCCACAAGGAAGCATATTAGGTCCGTTACTGTTCCTAATTTATGCAAATGACATGTCATCAGCATGTGACTGCAACTTGTTCCTGTTCGCGGGACGACTCAGCCCTGCTGGTCTCTGACAGGAGCAGATTGCAGGTTGAAAAAACCCTCAGCTCCGAGCTCGGCAGAATCTGCACCTGGCTCGCCGATAATAAATTATCATTACACCTGGGTAAAACAGAGTCCATTCTCTTCGGTTCGAAACATAATCTCAGCAAATCCGACGACTTCTCAGTTGCAGTGGGTGACATTATTGTCACAAGTAAGAAGGAAATTACATACCTAGGATCTATTCTTGAGGCAAACCTCTCCTGTGACAAAATGGCATCCAATGTAATAAAAAAAGTCAATCAAAGAACTAGATTCCTATACCGGATCTCCTCTCTGGTAAACAAAAACACCCTGAAAACTCTGGCAGGAGCACTCATTCAAGGGTACTATGACTATGCTTGCACGTCATGGTACCATAGCACCTCCAAGGCGCTAAAAATAAAACTTCAAACATCGCAAAATAAACTGGTCAGACTACTGCTTGACCTTTCATCTAGAACCCACCTCACCTCTGCCCACTTTGACAACCTAGGATGGCTTAGAGTAGACGACAGAGTACAGCTACTTGCAATGGGCCTGGTCTACAAGATCCACTACACCTCTATGGTACCCATGTACATGTCAAAATTCTTCCCAAAGGTCAAGGAATACCATGATCATAACACCAGAGGGAGCTCCACAAATCATGTAAAACCCAGATTTGGCACAAAAAAAGGGGAATACACGTTTCGCAATTATGCCACATCAAGGTGGAACGCTCTTCCCACAACTGTAAAGGAAAGTAAAACTATACTTACCTTCAAAACCTCTCTTAAAGAGCACCTTCGGGGGAAAGCATTGCAAAACTGGCCCCGGTAATGGTACAAATCTCAACCTGTCGTACAATGGACAGCTTCCCCCCCCCATCTATGTATATACTCGCATTTTAGACTCTGTTACTAACTGTATATCTGTAGACTTGGTATGTCTTAAATGTCCGGTTAGGATGTATTAGAACGAAATCTAAAATGAAAATTGTAAATAAGCCATCTGTATGTAAAAAACCACCTGTATGTAAATTGTAAATAAGCCATCTGTATGTCAAATATGTCTTATATGTCTTAAATGATATGATGAATTGGAAATGGGGGACCCTGATGTAAACAAGACGAAAGTCTTTCTCTGGTCTGCATCCCCTTAACAATTGTATGTTTTGAGCTGTACTGTACTGTACCCAATATACAAGCTGTTAATAAACTTTTCAATCAATCAATCAATCAATGTGTGTGTGTGTGTGTGTGTGTGTGTGTGTGTGTGTGTGTGTGTGTGTGTGTGTGTGTGTGTGTGAGCTGTTATCATCATCAACCAGCTGCTTCGCTGGCCGATATCAGATGATGGTTACGTCACAAAATACTGCTGAGTCATCAATAACACATTATCTCACACACACAGATAGCTCGGTTATTCGTGGACAGCTGGCTCGTTAGCACAAATAGTAAGGATGGATAAGAGGCTAACTTTCTTTTTTTTTCAATGCCATGCGATCTACCCACACGACCTTCGCGATCCACGTATTGGGCACCAACCAGTCGATCACGACTGGTTGCAAAGTTTTTAGATGTAAGCCTATCATCCACCACCCGTTGGCAGGTGCCACTTGATTGACGTATCTTTGAGACATTCCCTGTCGCTCCAGGAAATCTGACTTCAAGATGCTGCATATTTTTGAACTCACTGCACTTATACCAACTACAACAAAATGAACATATTTGACCGTGATTTAATTGTAATACACGTTTCTAAAAACCATGAATTAATGCTTTGACAAGTCTGCAGACAGACGGCAGGCGAAGAACCTTTTCAAATGCGTGTTTTCTGAATGGAGATCGGATGGATCAGGCTAAGCTAACGTTGTATCTGCTCTGTCCACACTCACAACAACATGATACAGACACAGATAAAGCAGCGACTGTATTCTCCATGACACAGGCAGTCTGCGGTTTGTACTTGTTTCACTTCTCTCTAGTTTCTGAACAGATATGAGGAGCTGTGAGCTCTGTGTGCTAACAGCTAACGGCTGATGTTTGCTTTTCTGATTCAACGTCAGTGACGGCAGGCTGAGATCCTCTCCGCTGATTGGCTACCACGAGATTGCGTCATTCGCATCGCGTCCGATGTCTATGCACGGATAAAGAATGTTGTTAGAATTTGCAAGAATTGTGTTAAAATAACGTGTTTTCATGTTAAATGTTGCATGAAGCTTCATAAGCCTCAATGAAATGGCACTTTATGTTATCTGCTCACTTTGTTGTTGTTGCTGTCAACAAAGTCATTTACTCATTCACTCAAACAGATGGAAAATAAGCTAAATACATTTATATTTAGGACTGTAATGAAGAAATTAATTAAACTTAAAATGATAGGTATGATGTAAATATATATATTTATGTTAGTCATGTTGTGTTCTTGGTTTAATCCAATTGGAAGTTGCACCAAATGATTTGATGTAATTCAGATGCAATTAGCCTCAAATAGGAAGTACTGTCTGGGCCGTCTTTTTAGGCAATAGGTAGATCTCGCCTTTCACCAAGGTCGAGGTCAAGGTCGGGGATCTTGGGCTTAAACAGGTTGGTGGCCACAGAGCAGCGGTCATCTGTACTCAGCACTTGTGGTCCTGAGTTTGTTGTTACTCCGTAGAGTTTAGTTTTGAGTTGTCCTTATAGATTGGATTTGTGCTAACGAGCCAGCTGTCCACGAATAACCCAGCGATCTGTGTGTGTGTGTGTGTGTGTGTGTGTGTGTGTGTGTGTGTGTGTGTGTGTGTGTGTGTGTGTGTGTGTGTGTGTGTGTGTGTGTGTGTGTGAGATAATGTGTTATTGATGACTCAGCAGTATTTTGTGACGTAACCATCATCTGATATCGGCCAGCGAAGCAGCTGGTTGATGATGATAACAGCTCACACACACACACACACACACACACACACACACACACACACACACACACACACACACACACACACACACACACACACACACACACACTAATGAGGTCAGAGGTCAGATAAAATGAATTTTATTCTCCTGTTCCTAATTATTCCGTTTTTATTTAGTTAATCCTTTCATTCCTTTTTGAAGTTA